TCTGTTGTTTGGAGTATTCGACATTCAGTGGCCTTTGGTAATTTATATTCACTACTCGATAGGTGATAGAAAGAAATGTTTACTGCTGACCTTTTGACCCATTTGAACCAGATGCTTTATTGTTGAACTGTTAGTAGTTTTTATTTCATCTATATTTAGCCAGACTGGTAGGTGTTGCCAAGGATGACACACCAAACTCCAAAAGCAACGGTCGATGTAACTGCTTTTCACTATGAAGTAGTAGTTAAATTTTCATTACTTCAATATTTCACGCTATCCTTAACATTTCTAGCCTTACTATTCTCTTCGAAAGTAATCAACATAGAAAGGAAACAACAACAAATGCCGTTCACACTGTCAGTATCAATGTTGTCTCGCCTACTTCATAGTTAATCTGTCTCAGCGATGCTTGTTTGACAATAAACTTACCCATAGTTGGGAGAAAAAATAATATTGTTTCACTTCTAGAAATCTTGCCGGTGGGGGTAACAGACTGTTTTTACACCAAATGTTCACATTTTGCTTTGTGCATCTCTGATACGTGAACGTTATCAGGCAGTATTCGGTTTCATGTTCAAAAAGTATATTGTCTCACAACAGTATGGTGAAATGGACACAGACTATCGTAACAATAGCAGACGAGAGACTTGGTGGAGCAACCAACGTTTAAGTTAGGTATCACTATACAGCCAAATTATGTACACCTTATCTTCAATGTACCATTTGCACAAATCATCGGCGTTGTGCTACTTCTGTCCCTCATATTGTGTTTCTTTGTATTCCTTTCACATCTTCCATGTATCTCCGCAACTTTGTATCATTTACTTTTCTCTGACGTCGAATTTATCTCCCTACTATTCGGTATACTACTGATAAATCTTATCAGTAGCACACCACACTCTTAATAAAGAAAAAACTTCCATCTATCTCAATGAATAAACATATGAACATAAAAATGTCAGTGCAAGAGGTTATAAACTATTCTGTTGGAAACTTTAATGCAATATTTTTATCGGTATAGCCACTTGACGACGGTTGTCAGATAACCTTCACTACATAGTAAGTCAATTTTACTTGGCTAAAGGTAAACAGATTTAGTCCGTCTCCTTCATGTGCACTTATTAGTTCAAGCAGTTTGAGAAGTGATATTGTTATCCTTCACCTTTATGATCAGTAACCAAAGTATTTGAATATTTTCTATAATGATATTAAATTGCTTGTGATTGTACAGATTGGACGAAAGGCTACTTTTTTAAGCTACCAATGAAGGACGACTTAGGCCTGTGCAAGAACTGACGTGGATTAATGCTCTTGTCCATGTCAAGTGAAATACTATTTCGCGTCATCTTGGAGAGTATAAAGGATGCAATGGATGTAGAACTCCGCTAACCGGAACAAGCTGGGTACAGGAAAAACAAATCATGCGTTGAATAAATTGCAGTTCTACACATTGACATTAAACGAAGCACAGAATTGCCGTCAAACTTCTACCTTAAATTCATCGACTTCAAAAAGGCCTTCGACAAACAGCGTTGACCGAGAAGTAATTTGGAAACTAATTCGAAACCACTACGTACCTCAAGTCTTTGTTAACCTCATTCAACGGCTGGTTATGCGATAGTACCACGTATCAGGTGATCCACAACGGAAAACTCATTGAAGTTTTTGAGGCGAAAACAGGAGAAAGACCAGACTGCCTGCCTGTTATCATCACGGATGATGTTCTTAATTGTGGTTGACTGGATTATGCGTCAGACTGTGCGAGGGGAGTGAGAAGACAGGAATACATTGGACTACCAATAAGAAGACTCTAGAAGGTCTGGATTTCGCGAGTGGATGACTTATGTTTAATGTCACACAAACTCGAAGACTTCTAGGCGAAAATCGACAGACTGGCAGAAGAGGCGAGACAGGCAGCGAAGACAGGACTCCAGGCGAACATAGAGAAGACGTAGGTGATGAAATTAACCAACCAACAGCAATAACAACAACCAGAACCAACACCACCGACGGGAGATGTTTAACAGAAGTTACCTCCTTCACTTATCTTGGCAGACAGTAGCGTTTCAACCACAGGCGGATGGCACGGTCGAAGATGTCAAAGTCAGAATCGGAAAGGCAAGATGCGCCTTCATCAACCTGAAACCAGTTTGGAAATCTTCCGCACTAAATCACCATAAGGAAAAACATTCGGATTTCCAACACAAATGTCGAGACAGCCAGTCACTTCTTTCATACGGGTCAGAAACTTGACCAGCGCCCCACGAAAAGCATTTCCAACAGCCTGTTGCAGACTTTTATCAACAGCTGCCTTCGCTGGCTGGCTCCGTACTGAAGATCAAATGACCGGCCGGTCAGAAAGAATTAGCAACAAGAAACCCTGGCTGGGAGAAAACCAACCAGGAGCCACTCACACAGTAATATGTAGGAGAAAACGGAGGTGGATTAGACATACATTGAGGAGGCTGTCGAATGGCGACATGAACGAGGCCATCACTCGAGTGGAATCCCATTGGGAAGCGACGAGTGGGTCGTCCGAGTGTGATATGTGGTAGATGAGGGGTTACAGACAACCGTGAACCGAGGTGAAGAGGACAGCAGAGAACTGATCAATGTGAAGATGTTTGTTGTAGCCCTATGCTCCTCTCGGTACCCAATGGAATATTAACAATATGATAATAGTGATTGGAAGCAGCTGAGAGGACCCAACGAAATATAATGATGTCATTCCGTTCTGCTCAATTTTTTCGATTTGATACATTTGTTCCCCTTAATGAATTTAAACAAAGCAACAACTACAGATTTTGCAGAATAAAATGGTACCATATTTTATTTCGTCGCCTTCTCTTCAGCTGCTTACAGGGCAAAAACATTATTAAATGTATCTACAATAACAATTTATCATACTTACACAGAGTTCATTTTAAACAGAAATCAATCGATCGATATACACATACACTAATAATATATACATATATGTATATATATGCAATCTTGAACACAATTCCGAGCATTAATAATCATACAAAATGAAAACTTTTTAGTATCTCGCATTAGGATGAAAAATATCCAGTTACCAGGGCAAAGAAAGACTGATAACTGCTTCTTTCTGAACGCACAAATCAGGTTTTAGGCACTTGATGGAAAAGGCTTCGGCAAACTTAAGGAGCATTGAACTCTTTTGCTTATTGATAATTTTGAATGACTTTTCCACGTCCACCTCATGACCCGTGTCAAGAAGATGCCTGGCGATGGCACTGCCTAAAGCATTTGTTCCCTTTAGACGTAAGCTTTTTGGTACATGTTCAGAAAATCGTAGATATGCTCTTCTTTCTGTTCTTCCAATGTAACTGCTCCCGCAGATAAATGTAAATTTGTATATACAGTTGGAGTTCACATGAGAAGGATATCTATCGATTTTTGATTGCACCAAAGAGCAAGTTGTTCGAAAGACGGGAACGAGCTTAGCTGCAGGATAGGCTATGGCTAGTGATGTACTCAGCCTTCTGTTGATCATCGCTGCAATGTTTTCGCCTTTATAATCAAGCTCAAAGTAGATTGGCTTTTTTCTTACTGTGATTAGTTTTTCATTTGCGACTGCAGATCTTCCATACTTATTGATAAACCTTTGAGGGTACCCATTGCTCTTCAAAGTCTTTTCAAGAAACTCAAATTCTTCCTCTAGTTTCTCTGTAGAGCATATTCTTCTCGCTCTATAGTACAAAGTCTTGACCAGTGCTCGTTTATAGCTATTTGGACAAAAGCTATTAAAATTTAAGTATTGTCCTTTCCATGTGGACTTACGATAAATTGACTTTTGAAGACTACCATCTTCTTTTCGATTTGCTTTGTTAAAATATTTTAAGTGAAGTCCTGAATAGTGTGTTCAGAATTATTTAAGAACTGTGTAATTCATTTGAAATATTATGTTCACTAAGAATACTAAAACCAACTTTATACCAGATACCTCTTTGAATGGTGATAGGTTTTACGAAAAAATTATGCTGTAATTGGTGATATATTGGAAGTTTTTGTTTGTATTTCTCACCAGTGTCAATCAAGAAAGTAAAACTCCCCTGCTCCTTTGCCCTATACTGAATCAAATTGATGTTGAAAAATTCCCGAAAAAGAAGGACAGTCTAAGAAGAATGACGTCTAACAATATTCTTTATATTATTCCTATAGAAGTAATGAATCTTGGGAAGTGGTTATAATGCTACTGATACATGTAGAAAATCATCTACAGTTTGTACATAGAAGGCTAGCGAACAAAATATAGATGGCAACCAGGGAAACAACACTAGGCATTTCTAGTATTCTAAAGTATCCCTCATCCTGATGAGAAGAGTAAGTACTTAATATCACAGACACTGACACGTATCTGTTTTTAAATTTACTTCGTTGAGGGAACATCTTTCTTATAACAACATTAACGCTAATGTCATATCTGATAACCGTTGAGGATTTGTTTGCTGGGATGGCTCTGGAAGCCTCTTTAAAAATATGCAGTACATGTTACAGTGAGAACAATTTACGATGAATGTCATAATCAGAAAAAGCATAAGTAAGCAAAGTTTCAAAAATATTTTTTTTGCATTTCACTGTTTATTGCCATTACTCTAGCAGTAAATAGTGTATTTTTTGAAGCATTCAACACATTAAGTTTGAAATGAAGCTATATTTAGACAAAACAATCCCAAAATATATGTAAATATCCCAGTCACACAGAGGATAGCTTCAGTCGTATTAAAACTGTGGTTAGTTGTTGTGACTAATGTCTGCCTTAAACAGGGCTATTCATATTCTATTAGTTTGCCCTATCTACGTCGTTCAACCATAAATAAGTTTTTATGCTTTATAGTGATTGGACAGAGCGACAGTAGCAAATTTTGATTAGTCTATTGATTATGTATTTTGTGATGTGATTGGTAGATGAGATATGTCAGATGAGTGTGTCTTTGTACTAAACCTCGACGCAGTTACACTATCAAAACAAGGGTGTTAAACATGCTGAAAAGGTTTGTGCGCGCATGTATATGAAATAAAAAACAAACATTTTCGAGAGACTGCTGACCATACATTTAAAAAATTTAGTGAATGTCAAATACTCAGTTAAATATAATTGGACTTATCTTACTTTTCATTTGCCTTTTAAAAACTACAAAATCAGATCCACAATGTTCAGGTATCAGTAATGTACAACGTTTGGATTGTTATCCGAGTATTGATTCAAATAAGGATAGATGCGTCGCTAGAGGATGCTGCTGGGTACCCAAAAATGAACATGATGGGTTACCATATTGTTACTTCCCAAAAGACTATGCCACATATAGTGTAGTGTCAACAGAAAAAACTGAACGTGGATTCATTGCTCAGTTGAACAAACCTAATTCAAGTTATTATACAGATGAAATTAAAAATATTGCAGTCGAAGTTAGAGAGGAAACTTCAACTAGACTGCGTATACGATTTACAGTGCCTTCACAACCCAATAGATGGGAACCACCTATCCCATTGGGACAACCAGATGATACGCCAGTGTCAAATGTCCAGTATAAGGTTGTTATGGACAAATCACCTTTTGGATTGAAGGTAAGATACAAAGATACTTAGAAGTATTCATAAATCTATAAACATATCTGTTTTAATTTTTTTTTGTGCATTTGTTGTTTTATTCTGAGAAGATTACTTCAACCAAGTGTTATTTGAAGTAAAGCTTCTGGTTCTACTTAGCACGACTGTTCGTTAATAATGACATATGTTCAGTGCTTATTGTTATGGATAAAACGTACGCTATTGCAAAAGTACTGGATTTCCTTTCAACATTTACGCATGACTATACCTGCAACTTTGACTTAATTCACTTTCATTTCTTATGTTGCCAAGATTAACACTAAAATGAAGGTTTGGTTGAAGGGAGGTCTATTGACATTAACTTGGTTTTATTGGGATTTATTTTTGATAATGATTGAGGCTTTACTTAAATTCCAGAGTCCTGTAACCAGTACCATATATGGGTGAGGATAAAAGTCACCGTAAGGTGTTTTCGCGCGTAAGCATTCTAACTGTGCAAGGGAAAAAATTTGTAAAAGCCTTTAAAACTAGTGAGGACGTAAGTAACCAACAAACAAACATATACCTGCCTTTCATTTCCTCCTCTTTAATAGAGTAGAACATAGGCGGTTAATTACAATTCAAATCTCCTCAGGTAGTTTTATTGTGCATGTCCATATGTACTGCATGTTTAATGGAGTACTGTACATATTTCAGATGTTACATTTAGTTGTTTTAAAGATGTTTCATGGATTTCTTTTACACAGCTGGAATATATTTGTTGCGCTGTTCACTATACAGTGTGCGAAAACACCTTGTGCTGACTTTTTGATCCTCACCTGTATATGACTAAAGTATTTAAGAGGTATCATTCTGTCTACTTACCAGATTCTTACTTTAGTATTTTCTTTTACACAAACGAAATATAAACATATGAAGCTTGTTGTATTCATGACTTGGTGGATTAAGAAGATATGACGTAAGGAATAATAATAATTTGCTTTATTCCAAAACAGTACATGTGATACAGAATGGAATTCTCAGCATCTTTTACTACAGTATTGCATCCAGTTAGTACATTATCAATAGATAGAATTCTACATAGATTAAGGAAACCACAGTTCATTATTACAACAATACATTGGCATGTCGGTAGCAAAGGTAAGGCTGAAAGAGTGTTTGAAGGTGTTAGAAAAGTGGGAGCTGTCTTATTAACTGGCATAAGCGAGAGAAAGAAACAAAGCAGCACATAACGGTAAAAGAAGAGAGAGAAAAGGAAAAGAAAGAAAGAAAATGTTGTACCTATAAGTGATATGAGTTGGAAAGACGAGGTCCAGTTGTACTACTGACTATTTAATGAATTATAGGTGTCACGCCTAATGCTTTCTTTATCGCACAGAACACGAGCTAAGTAGGGGATGGTTGAGTTTTTGTACTTGCTAGTGCGAGCATATAGTTTTCCATATAGGCTTCTGGTTTTACCTGATGAGATGCAAGGGGAGAGTTGTGAGTGAAGAGGGTGGTGTGAGTTAGATAAAATGGACTTAGCCCATTTTTTACATGAGTTCATGTGCCTGTCAACCAGAATATTAACAAGCTGGTTAGGTGGCACGTTGCTTACTCTGCTGACAACATTTAACATCCTGCGTAATATGTTATAGTCTTTCTCCAGTAGCCCGGGAAAAACTAAGGGGGAACAATAGAGAATAATACGCAAAATGCGAGAGTTAACGAATTGTAGGAGTAAGGGTTGGGTTATATCAGAATGTTTTAACCTCTTGATGTAGAAGGTAAGACGGAATATTTTCTTAGAAATCGTCAAGATATGACGACCAAGAGAGATCAGCAGATAGAATGACGCCAAGATATTTAATTTCCGACTTGGTCTCAACTACAGTGCCATCTATGTTGCACACCTCGTGAATGCTAACCAGTTTGTTTAGGTCGGATTTATGCCTAAAGGTGAAATTGACTGTTTGGCATTTGGAGGGGTTTAAGGTAAGACCGTTTTCCGTGGACCACTGGCTGATTTCTGATGAAAAGCCATTTAGTTTAGAGCAGTCACTTTGACATTTGACAGGCAAAGATACTGTCAGGTCATCAGCATATTTGACAAAATTAATGTCATTTGAAGATGGTAAGTCATGTAGAAAGAAAGAAAAGAGAAATGGGAAGAGTACAGCACCTTGGGGGACACCAGGTTCAGTGAGCATAGCAGAGGAGGATTTACCTTTATATACGGTGTACTGCTTTCTGTTAGAGAAGTAATATATATATATATATATATAATAACAAGAACATATAGATCAGGATGACAATAAATTTCAGGTCTTTGTGCTTCATTGAAATGGAACAGTGTTACATCGACTCAAGTACGTTGATTTATCACTGAACAAGTACCGATGTAACTGCCTGGTTTCAAATGTTGAGAATCTGTTCATCTACTCAGCTGTTCAGTATGTTCACTAAGTTGCGTAACATTATTTAAGTTACAAGCCATAAAAATTTCTAATGTCTCATGTACTTTATACAATACTTTAATATCTAGTCTAGTGTAGACATCAGCCTGACAAGTTAACACCACGTCTTTTTTGAACCATCAGAACCCAATTATAATGTTGTTTTAACACAGCTCACCTTGATGAAATGTGAAATAATTTGCGCAGCATACAGTACGTTTCCACCGCATTGATCCGTCAGTTGATCTTTCTGTAATACTTCGTAATTTATGCTTCTTCCCCCTCAGAACCATCTTGAATGTTAGTCGTTCACTTATTTTATAACTATGATTTTCATCACTCATTCATAACTGCTTCATATTTCAAGCATATATATATATAATGCCGACCATGTAAATGGTCCGGGGTTCGATCATCGGCCGACGCACTCATTTACCTCGCTAAGCCAGTAGTAAGACTGGTAAAGAGGGAAGGTTGGGCATGAGGCTAGAAACCCCATCCTGTAAAAATAAGCACTGCTACAGAATCTTCAAGCCCTATGTTCCACTGGGAACGTGAAGGAATAAAAAAAATAATGCTCATAAATCACCGTGGTTTTCATACTCTATACCTCTTCTTTTTCAAAACTACTTGCAGTTCATCTCCACTTTCGATGAAGTATTACTGTTGTGGATAAAATAAGAAACAAATTTAAACAACAACCACTTGTAATTTACTCAGATTCGGAGGTATTCAGTGGCGGGAAGAAACTACTACTGTTTAGGCTTAAAGTAACTAGGATTGATAACTCTAACAGTCAGACATTTTATCTTACTTAGACAAAAGAAAATATCCCAGATATCTGGAAAATTTTACTACCCGTACGATAAATAGGAGAGGACAAAAAAAACTATAAAACTTAAGTTTCGAAGTCGTATGATTATAATTGATATGATTATGAACAATAAATTGTGTTTGAAACTTAGTCATCCAGTAAATAATACTGTTTCACTGTGGGACACATCTAATAAACAAACTAATATGGAATTACGTACTACCACAGAGCCCAATTTTTACACCTATATCAAAATTTTATTTGCGTGACATTAGTAGCTATTATCTTATCTCCTATCTATTGTTCTTACAGTGCTGTTCTTTTAACTTTAAACTGTCCCCTTTTCTTTCTTTGCCTTTGGAGTGAAACATCGGGCTTCAAAAGCACATTTCCACTGTACTCTTTTCTCTTCCTTGCATTTTGGTCGTCTTCACGACTGACAACAAGCTCTCAATTCCTCTTTACATCATCTCCTTCATGTCACCATTGGACATCCAACTCGTCGTTTCTCAGTTGTCTTACACTTCAGGGCATGTGGTGGCGTGTCGCTTGGAGGTTCCCTCACTCTACGTCCAGTCAGTTTCCATTTTCTTATGTATATTCGTTAGGCAATAGGTTCTGGGTTGGTTCGCTACCTGTCAGAGTTCCTTGTTGTTCATCGTTTCCGGTAGGCCATCTGACCTTCAGTATCGAGATAACAAAGGCAACTGTTAATGAAAGTTTGCAGGCTGTTAGAAATGATTTTGATGACAAGTCGAGTTCCTGAACTATAAACAAGTATTGATTTATCTGACATTAATGTGTAAGTTTCGGATCTTGTTCCTTATGCTAAGTGCTGTAGATCTCTACACCAATTTCATGCTAGTGAACGTCGGTTTTGCTTTCCCGACTCGATCCTGACTGGCTTTGATATCCTCATCCTTACTGCTTGTAGTTGAAATGAGGCTACCGAAGTGAATAAAATAGATGACTTCCTTTAGATTCATACCGTTGATAGTGACTGACAATTTTTTTGGCTGGGTATGTTCATCATCTCCGTCTTTATGTTCACAGGAAGTCCTATCTTCTACTAACATGTTGTTTTTCACGTGTTAATCTTTGATTTTGTGCAACATCAAGCTTAAATCATGTACGTAACCTACATCTAGCATCTTTTTGTCTATCCATCTTATATCCGTCTTCTCACTCCCCTCGGTTTGCTGCATGATGCAGTCTGCCAAAATCAAGAATATCCACCATGGTAGCGAGCAGCTTTATCGTACTCTTGTCTTCACTGTTAAAGCTTCGGCGAATTTTCCGTTGTGAATTATTTAACATGTGGCATCATCGAATAACTGTTGGGTGAGGTCTACAAGGATTTGTAGTACTCCTTAGTGTTCTTATTCATTTCACCAAGCGCCTCCAAACCAATGATCTGTTCTCTTCCCTGTTCTCTGCTCTCAGTTTGACTCATATTCGCATCATCTGTTAGAATTTTTATAACTCCATCTGGCTGGGTCTTTGCCTATTACTGCATTCAGTTGTCTTTGGAAGTCCTCTTTCTCTCAATCTTCGTTGTTTATAGGTTGACAGCATCCTATGACTGTAACTTTCCCTTCTTTTGAGGTAAATCTTGCTGCTATGATCCTAAATGGCATTGGTTTCTATTCTAAGAGATCCTTCTGTGGTGAGAGCTGGCTGCTAGCCAAATTGTAGACAGTAATTTACGTCAACGTTTACGCCCCCAATATTGGTCTTGAGGAAAATAAGAAAAAAGACTGATTCAA